AGAGAGAGAGAGAGAGAGAGAGAGAGAGAGAGAGAGAGAGAGAGAGAAATCATTAGGGACAGAGGCAGAGACTCAGGCATGGAGACAAGGCAACTGAACACTAAGAGTCAGAGGATCCAGAGAGATAGACAGAAACACACGTGTTGTAAGAGACAGCGGCACAGAGAGGCAGAAACAGACAAAGAGATGGGCAGTCTAGAAATGGAACCAGTTCAGACAGTTAAGTGGGGACGAACACCTTTGCCAGTGACCACTGTGGGAAGCTGTCCTGGTGGGGGTCAGTCGTGGCAAGGGGGGCAGGGAACTGGGACTAAACGTTGCCCCAGCTGTAGTCTTCTGTTTATGGTATTCAAGTTTCCCCTTCCCTCCCGTCCAAGCTGTTCTCCCAAGGGCTGTTCCCCCCCAGTTTACCTTGAACCTTCTTGACCAATGGCTCCCCCCCACACCAACCCACACCTGACCTGACCTCCTTACCTGTACTGCCGATTGCTTGTTGTCATTGTTCCCAGGAGAGCTCAGGCCTGAGGCTTGTTGTAGCAGGAACTGCCGGGCTACTTGGAGAGCCTGGAACACAGAAGGCCTGGGTCAGTGGAAGGGGCTCATTGGTGGTGGTGGGGGGCATCAGGTAAATATACAGTGAGAGGGGTGGTTCCAGGATCTGTGGGGAGGATAAATGGTAGGTCAGAGGTCAATAGGTCGGTCAGAGGGTCATTGAAATAGGACCACAGGGGCAAATATAAGGTCAGGGAGCTAGAGGGCAAATGAAAGAGGTCAGATAAAAGGTCAATATGAGGTTTGACGTACTTTATAAGATGTAGGATTTAGGGTGAGTTCAAGGATTGGAGAGAGAATCAAGAGTAACAGGATGGAATATGGAACCATTAGAGGATATGATAGGTCAAGACAGACTCAAAGAGTTTAATGAAGAGAGGTCGCAGGGAAAAACCTGGGGTCGGTAGTCAAAAGTAGAGCCCAGCCGTCAATATAGGGCCAATGTGAAGTCAAAAATCACGTTAGAGGGTATTATGAGAGTTGAGTGTGGATTTGGGGGATCAGGAAGCAGGGAAGTGTTTTCATGAAGAGCACAGGGGTGAGTGTGGAATTTTAAGACCAGAATGAGTTCAATTTGGGATCTAGAGCAGTCTAGCTCTTTAGAAGTCAGAATTCAGTCTAAAGGGTCTTTGTGTAATGGGACAGAGTTTATAGGATTAAGGAAATTAAGAGTGAGGTCTTAAGAGATCTTCAATAAGGTCAGAGGGCCAGTGTGTGGTCAAAGAAGATAGTGTGATTTATATGGGACCTTTCGGATCAGTGTGGACTCAGAGGAAACAATAAGGCATGGGGTGGGGGGTTGGTGTCATTGTGGGCAACCCTATTCAGGGCTAGTTACTATGGGGTCAGTGAATGATATGAGCAGGTGGATGAGGCTCTGGGAGAACTGGGATGAGATCAGATGGATCTTTGTAGTGACTAAGGGTAGCAATGTAGGCTCTGGTGGGTCAGGATGAAGCTGAGATATCAGTAAGAGATTGGAGATTGGGGAAGAAACAGGGGCAGGTCCAGGGATGTCAATGATTGATCAGAAATGTCTAGGAAATAAATCTAACCATGACTTGATCTCAACTCCCAGCTCTGGGTTGGTGGCCCAATATTGGGAAGTTTAAGCACCATACTCCTTAATTCAATTCAGCAAGTATTAATGAATGGCTCTTTTGAACATGGAAAGCATAGTGCCAGGGCCAGACTCTGGACATACAAAGACAGCACCAAAAAAGCCAATCTTTCCTCTCAATCAGCTTATAATTTTAGCTCAGAAGGATAAGATAGCTCCACAAGGACATCTCACAGTCTAAAAAGAATCAGTCAACAAGCATTCAATAAAGCACTCATTACTGTACTTAGAGGTACTATGCCAAGCAACTGGGAATACAAAGAAAGGTAAAAACATGGTCCCTGCCCTCAAGGAGCTCCCCGTCTAAATGAGGAGATAACAGACAAACCACCATGTATATCCAAGATTTACACTGTCTAAAGGAGAGATGATCTCAAAGGGAAGGCACTAGCAGTGTCAGGGACCACTGTGATTATGTCTATACTTGTAAATACTCTTTCCCCCTTAAAAAAAAAAGTCTAAGTAATAAGGGAGGATATGGAATGAACAGAGCTTTCCGAATCTAAATCTACAAAAATAAGGTGGTGTGGCTCAGTGGAAAGAGCACTGACTCCGGACCCAGGGCCCTGGGTTCAAATCCCACCTCTGATCCTTATTATGTGTGTGATTTTGGGCAAGTCACTTAACCTCCCTAGGTCTCAGTTTGCTATCTGCCAAGTGAGGGAAGTGGCCTCTGAGGGTCAGCCCTACATCTACGATTCTACCTTCTGCGCCTCATTTTCTGTATCTCCCTATTCATACCATATGTACCTTTCAGATAAAATATGTTCCCCAACTTATACACCCCTGGTATAATTTAGAATTCAAATCCAGCCTCAGACACTTACTAGCTATGTGACCCTGGACAAGTCACTTAGCCCTGTTTGCTTTAGTTTCCTCATCTGTAAAATGAGCTAGAGAAGGAGCCTTGGAGTTGAAATGAACTTCACAGATCCTCCAACCCAGTAATGGTGCAATAATAGCTCATTCAACGTTATTAGGGGTAGGTTTTTTGGGGGGTTGTTGTTGTTGTTGTTGGGATGACCAAGCCAGCCTGGCTTTTGATCCTGTGTGATTTCATTACCAAGGTTTCCGCTTTTGGTAAGGGGAATTTCCAATGTGGAAACCCCCTCTACTAATGTATTTCAGCAACTCATTTATTATTTAAAGAGTTGCTTGGGGGTAACTCCCCCTCCCCCAATAGGATAAGTGACTTCCCCAGGGTCCCACATACATATGTGTCAGAGGGGAAACAAGAGCCCAGATCTTCCTGACGCTCGAGACACTAGGCCACACTGCCTGTCATCACAGTCATCCTTGGCTTTGGCCAAAGTTGTCACCACACAGTTACAGTGGGTACCTCCCTCTTCCTCCCAGACCTAAGGAAGTTGGTGTGTAAATATAAACAGATTGATCCAAGCTGACCCCACCCTAAGCAAAGCTGGAGGCATTCCAGCTTCCTCTATCACCCCACCTCAAAATTCACATTCACAGAGTTTGTGATCAGCAGACCATAGGGTCAAATGATTTAGAGTGTAGCTGGGACTTCACCAATCAACTAGTCTAATCTCCTCATTTTATAGATGAAGACATTGAAATTCAAAATGGAAAAATGACTTAACCAAGGCCACACAGACAATGTGGCATCCTAGTTGGATTTCAGCCCAGATCCTTGGACCCCAAATCAAATGCAATACACCAGCCATTGTCCTAAAGGCCTAATTGATGGCCCTCCTCACCTCTATTAAGTCATTTGCTTAATAGGGGTGGGGAAGGGGAAGAGAAGTCTTAGGATAGGAGTGTAAGAGAGATATCCCATTCAAAAGACAAAGTGTCCTCCCAGCCCCCAATTCAAATGTCCAACCCCAAGTTTAGCATGGTAGACAGTATCACTGACCCTCCCAAGTGGCAGTATTCCCTGCCCTGCACCCATCCTGGGGGAATGGGGGGAAGACCAGACTTGGGTCTCAAGGCCAGAACAAATTCCTACTTTTGTTGCCTTTCCTCATTCTTTCTTCGTTCTATCTAGGGAGTCTTCTTCCCACCGCACCCCACACTCCCTGAGTTCCTGAGCTCACTGGACTTGGAAGCAGGAGATCCAGAGAAGAATCCTAGCTTTACTCATTTTGACCAGTATAACCCTGAGGAAGTCATTTTCTCCTCTCTGGGCCTCAGTTTCTTCATCTATAAAATGAGGGAGCTAGATTGGATCAGAGGTTCTTAACCTGGGATCCAGATTTAGATAGGGAAAAAAATTGAACTTTATTTCAATGTAATAGGTTTCCTTTGTATCCTGTGGATTTCATTTGATGCATTTAAAAATGTTATTCTGAGAAGTCTGTAAGTTTTCTTTCATCAAACTGACAAAGGAGTCCATGATACAAAGAAAGGTAAAGAACCCTTTGAGGAGAGAGAATCTCTAAGGTGACTTCCATTTGTCTAAGGACCTAGTGCCTAGTACAGTGCTTTGCAGAACTAGGGCTTCATAAATGTTGAGCTGAATTGAATTCTACCTCTAAACCTTTGATCTATCTTTTCCATGGAGTTTCCCAGAGTCTAGAGGTAGGGTGCAATGGGTACATTTCTTAAATACAAGATTTCCTTCCCATCCATCCCACCCAACCAAGTCAGAAGATTCTGAGAAGAGGTGGCAAGGTCAGGAGGAGCCAGTTAGGGACAAGGGGATGTTGATGGAAGAGCCTAAAGGAAGGGAAACAGCTTGCAGCTCCAATCAGGGTGAAGATAGTGAGGGGGCCATCTTTTTCCACTCATCATTTCCAGGTTTGACATTAATTGGACAAAGAGCTCCTTGTTTGCCTGTGAGGATCGAAAGGGGCTTGGAATACAGAGGCCAGAAGGAAGCCAAGAGGTGGAGAAGCAGTCCAAGGGGATGTGGCCAGCAGAAGACATGAGGATAAGGTTTGGGGGAAGGGGAGAGGAGCCTGAGAGACGAGGGCTGCCTGGAGTGGGGAGTGGGGTTCGAGGAGGAGGAGACTTGGTTCCCAGAATTCCAGGGAAGTTGGGGAGACAAGAAAGGGAGGGGCACACTTCCATGGAGAAATTGGGACTGGAAGTGGCCGAACTATCCTTCTTGGTCTCTTGGGGCAGAGGGGAGCTGGGGGAGTTTGATTCACTCCCCACTGACTCTCTCACTTTGTTGTCCTCTGGAGCATGAAATTACAAGATTTACAGGAAAAAATGACATGGCCTTACAATCTCACATGGGGACCTCCCTGTGACAGCCCTCTATTCCCCCTCCCCCTATTTTCAACCCTTGGACCTCCAGCACCACTCTGTTCATCCCAGGTTTCTGCTCCTCTCCCTGACTCTCTTTACAGACTCAGGAGAATGGATGGAGCTAAGAATGATCCCTCATCAGGCCAGGCCCAGCTCTGTTCCTCCCTTGACTTCCTTTCCATTCTTTCCACCTGTTCTTATTTCCTCTGGATACCCTAGATACAAGGGACACTGGGGTTTGAGCATCTTAGAAGCGACATGATAGTCACCTTGGAACACAAAATGTCACCATTTACCCCCAAAAGGGCTGGACAAAGGACAAATAGGATCAATAATCTTAGAGAAGGGGGAGTAAATGACCTGGCTATTTTCCTATTTCAAAACATGGGAACATCAGAAACAAACTGCCTGAACTACTGATTCTGTGCTCTCTACTACCATCACTACATACATAAGTCCTCTCTTCCCTTTCTCCTCCTAAAATCAGATTTAAATGGTGACTGTTACTCCCCAGAATCTTTGACTTGTGAGCCCGCTGGCCTAGACTGGCCTAAATTCAGGGAGCAGTTCAATTTAATGGCCAGCAATCACTAAATCTTGGCTCCATTTCTTATTATCTGTATGACCTTAGGCATGACATTTAACCTTTGTTGAATCCTTGGCTAAGTCATTTATT